CTTTTTGGTGAAGTTGTCCAAGCTGCCTTCTGAGGTCCCACCAATCCTCATCTCTGCCAGCATAACAGACCCCAGGGTGGGAGGGCAAAGGGGGGATGAGAAATGATGGGATGGGAGGAGGGTACAGAGTGGTTGACTCACCTGCCAGGGCCAGCTGTTGGGTGTTGCCGCTTCACCGCCGACCACCCTGCTCAGTTGGGGCAGGTGAGTGGGGAGCCCACAGCTGAGAGCTATGGAAGGAGAAACGGGGGCCACCCTGCTCAGTTGGGGCAGGTGAGTGGGGAGCCCACAGCTGAGAGCTGTGGAAGGAGAAACGGGGGCGAGTACAGGAAGCAGCCACCCAATCAATGGAGACTATGCTTGCTGCACACCCAGCACCCAGATAGAAAAGCCTTGCTCTAGAAGGACCCCGAGAGGTCACAGTCCAGCCTTGCTTTGCTTCTCTGAAACTCCACTCCAACCTTCCTATAACTACACAGGGTGGAGTGCAGTGGGAGAGGGCCAGGTGGGGATGGAGGGCAGGGAGTTCCTCTTCCTAGTCCCACCAGGGGTTGGGAGAGTGGCGCCTCCGGGTGATGGGGTTACCTCCAGCCACCAACGCAGAGAGCAGTAGGGTCTTGATCATGGTGAGTCCGTGGGAGTTCTGGAAGCCCGGCCGTGGCTGAGCCCTTGTTTTATGAGCTGATTATCAGCAGGCGATATAGCAGGAGCTGCAAGATGGAGATTTTCCCAAAGCTCAATGGAATAAAAGGTTGGCGTCCAAATGTTTTTTTCCGTCGTCTTCTACCGTCATCCTGAAAACACACTGATAAAGATGCCAAAGGTAGCTATTGAAATGTGAGTTCTATCTACTTTCAAGAGGTTATGTGTGTGTCAAGAGAAGAAAATTATGGGTTATTGGTTCTTGGGGTTGCATTTTTCAAAGAAAAGATGAAACTGGCAATGAGCCCCCGGGCCCGTGGTACTGGGAGACATTGGATGATGTCTGGAGCAGTTTTGGGTCATTGGGGCTGGGGTTGGGGTACTCTTGGAATCTGGAGGGAAGAGAACAGAGAGGCTGTTAAAAACCCTACAATGCACAGGGCATAAGAAACTGTCCCCCTCCCAACGTCAGTGGTGTTGAGATCGAGAAACCCTGCTCCAGGCAATGCCATGGCTTGTGTGTGACCCAGGTTGAGTCATGTAAGTGTCTAGGCCCAGGGTCACCTGTTTGTGAAACAGGGAGGGAAACATGTACCTAGCTTGTCTCAGAGCATTGGAGGATTTGCAAAGCATAGGGGAACATGCTTAGGAGAAGGGCAAGGTGGACCCCCACAGTTGGGGTTTAGCAGTCCCAGTGATGGGACAGAGGAGAGTGCTGGCAGAGGACAGCGTCCCTGGGGTGGATCAGATGTCTTTTGTGGTCTGCTCCTAAGACAACAGTGATTTGCATTTTTCCAAACTCTGTCTTCCAAATGGAATCAAAGCAAGAGCTTCTTAGGGGAGCCAATAAAGGCAGACACGCTGACACTCACCAAGCACCTTAGATAGGTTAGATGCTGGCCCATTTCTTATTTAAACCTTAGACAACCCTGCAAGAAAGTCCTTTATTTCAGATGAGGAAGCTGAAGCTCAGAGAGGTGAAGTGACTAGCTCAAAACCACACAGCTTCTAAGCAGCAGAATGAAGATTCAAACCCAGGATGGTCTGATTCCAGAGCCAAGGTCTGATTACTTGAGCCACTGAAGATGACATTCTGTGTGACATCTTAGCGCTGTAGAAGCCCCCTGTTGGCAAGAGAAGGGTGGAGAAAAAGAGCACGTTTTCCTAATGGGCTTTCCTGCTCTTCCTGGGGCCTTAGCTCCTGCTGTGGGCAGAGCACAGTGCCAGGCAGGCAAGGTGCGGGTGAGGTGGCCCTGCCCCGTGATCACAGACTCTACTTCTTTCTCCAACCAGAAAAGCAGAGGGAAAAAAACTTCAGACATCAGCTGTAGAGCTGGATCCAGTCTTTGCCTGCCAGTATTTTGTGGGATTGTGTTATGTGTTAGAATCTGGAGTCCAAGAACTTGGATCAAGGATCACACAGGGCGAGGGGACCTGGGCTGCAGAATCCCCCTTGGGTTGGATGTCAGAGGACCTGGCTTCTGGTCCCAGTCCTACTCCTGACTTCCTGTAACACCTTGGACCCTTAGACTATGGCAACCAGCTATTCCTGAGGCCTCATATTTTATCTTAAAGGTAAATGTGAATTTGGCATTCTGTATATGTTTGTTTTAATATAAAAACAGAGTTTTCCTATGTGAGTCTTTGGACAAACACCAGGTGACACATGCCGGGGACTTGCTGTGTGACCTTGGGCAAATCACAGAGGCGCTCTGGCCCATTTTCACAAAACAGGCATTATGGTTTAGATGTGAAGTGGCCCTAGGAAGGAAAGTGACCATGATTACTTGGAGTGACCAAGAGATCTTTATTGAAAAAAGGAAAGGGAGAGGGAGAGGGAGAGGAAGAGGGAGGGGGAGGGGGAGGGGGCTGGCAGGAGAAAGTTTTTATAGCCCTTTGCTGTGCTGCTTAAGTCTAATAGGGTCCCTGGGTCTGCAGGCTGCCTTGTTGGTGTGCACTGATTGGGTCACACAGTGGTGGCTTAGGGTGTCATCTTCTGCCTTCAAGTGGACTGAGCATAGGCTAGGTGTGGGTTGCAAATTGACAAGAGGAAGTAAAGGGAAAAGGTGCCAAATAACCCAAAGGGCTAAGGAAGGATGGGGCCTGGGTACTCAGTTTACCCTGCAGCTAACAGCCCCCAAAGCTCGTGTGTGAGACAAGGTCAGAAAGCTCAGAGCTGAAGTGACTGGGTTCAGGGTCTTGACCTGATCCCTGATGGGGATTAACTGGGTGACTGTCGGCAGGAGGCTGTGGCTGGAGGAGATGGGTCCCTGGGGTTGAGCCTTTGGGGTTAATATTTTGTTGTGGTGAGAACTCTCTGTGTGGTTCCTGGTGGCCGTGTCCTGACCTACTTTCTTCTACATACTTTCCCTCCGTGATGTTCTGTCTCATCTTGGGCCCACAGCAATGGGCTGGCCGTCTTTGGACTAGGACCTCTGAAACTGACAACCCCCAGATCAACTTTTCCTCCTTAAAATTGCTCTTGTCAGGTCTTTTGGTCACAGCAGCCAAAAAGCTGACTGAAACAGAAATTGGTAGCTTGAAGCGGGGTTGCTGTTGCGACTAGCCTGGCCATGCGGTTTAGAAGCTTTAGGAGGTTTTTGGAGTTTGTGGGAGGAGTTTTGAAAACTTTAGAGATGCAAGCTGGAAAGGTTTTGGATTGTTGTAAGCAGAGTTTAAGAGGCGATTCTGGTGGGAGCTCAGAGGACCGGATTGCGGAGAGACTGTGGACAGTCGAGACCGGGGTCATGAGGCTTCAGAGGAGGAAACTGGAGGAGAGGCCATTCATGTCAGGTATTGGTTAGGAAGTCGTCAACTTTTGCCCATGACCTGTGCCCATGACCTGAGACTTTCTGTGAGACTGTGTTTAAAGGTGATGGACTAGCTAATCCGGCAGAGGAGATTTCCAGGCAGCAGAGCATTCAGGCCGTGGCATGGATATGGCCGGCAGCTTTTGGCCAAGCGTACTGTGATAATCAGGAGCAGAAAGCAAAGCATAAGGGTCTGAAAAGTTTGCAATTTGGCCAGAAAACTGCAAGTAAAACTGTGGCTAAAGAAGTTGGATTTGTTAAAGACATTATAGCTACTAAAGAAATGCTAAATTCCTTAACCTGAGACAATAGGTAAAATGGATTGAAGGCATCTCAGGCTCAAGGGGATAAAAGTGAAAATTCCTCAGAGAAGAGACCAGTGGGCACCCAGCTTGCACAGGGGGGCCTAGGAAGTTGCTTCACCAGGCCCAGCCACCCAGGCACTCAGAGGCTGCTGCAGCCCTGGAGCCTGGAGGTTGGTTATTGCTCAAGATGGAGGGAAACTTGGCAGCAACCATGTGTGCTGGTTCTGTAGGAAAGCGGGATGCTGGGGGCAGGGGGTCATTGGGGGTTTCCACTGGACTTTCAGAAGGAAGGCCTGGGAGGCCAGGCAAGGTGCTGCAGGGGTGGGTTCCCTGCAGGCTGCTCCTGAGAGGGTGACAGGTGGAGATGTGAGGAGGAAGCCAAAGCTGCGGTGGAGACCCCGCCCCCCAGATTAAGGAGACCCCTCCTCCCCAGATTAAGGAACGCCAGGCCTGAGGGATGTCAGCGGAGGAGAGCTCCAGGAATCAAGCGAAGACAAGCCAAGAGAGAGGCCATGTGATGCCAGACTCGTGGGACCCCACTAGACCTCCAGGAGCCGAATCTGATGCAATCACACGAGAGTCTTCATTGCAAGCTCCAGCCTGGACTCAACCGTTCCCGACGCAGCGGTCCCAGGGACTGAGTCCTGGTCCTTTGTTCAGTGAGATTTTATAGGATCTTGGGGATACTCTATGTGTCACAACGTCACACAGCAAATCATTTCACACCGAGGGGAAAAATCAAACAACGACTCTTAACGTTGATTAGCACATTCCCTGGCGGGAACAAGTTAGGTAAGGGTGATTGGTTAGTAAAAGAGGGGGAGTCCTTTGAACTGATTGGTTTAGGCCTCGAGGGGTTGCAAGAGTGTATATGCTAAACTGCTGGGTGGCTTAATCACGTTATCCATCACCGGAACTCCTGGGAGGGTCACCTGGCATTTCAGATCTGTTCCCTGTCTCACTCTGATTGGTTGTTGCTATGGTCCGAAATTAGGTCTCAAGCATTCTTTCGGTCTTTTCAGGAACTTGCATTTGCTGAGTCAAGGACTTAGGACAAATGACTCAGCAGGGTAGCTACATGCCTAGAAACCTGGGTCATCCCTGCACCCCCACCTTTGGACAGTCCCTGCTCTGAAGTAGAGGCTGTTTTTTTAAAAAATGGAGTCACATCAGTTTCTCAGCCTGGTGGGCTGCAACCAGCAAAGCCACAGGGGGGAGCTACACAAGCCCATTTGGAGAGAATGTCGTCATGCCATGTGCCCCAGATGCCTTTGGTCTTGTTTTGATCCCATCCCTTCTTTCTGTGTCCCTATTTGTCCCTCATGGAATGGGAAAGTTTGCCCTTTTGACTTTTGGGAAATCTTGAAAATGGACTGACTGTATTTTGCACTGTGAGACAGGCATGAGCTTTTGGGGGCCAGGGGCAGAATTATATGGTTTAGATGTGAGGCGTCCCAGAAAAATTCATGTGTGAGACTGCTGAGAGCCATAGCCGAGTCCGAATGACGTATGGCATTTTTGCCAGTGGTTGAGAGGTGAAGCCAGGAAGCCATTGAGATGATAATGGTTATGTTAAGCTGTGTATATTAGACCCCTGCTGTCCACCTCAGCCTGCTTCTTTGGAGTTCTCGTAGGGATTCCCGGAGAGTTCCCTATTGGTTGGGGAAGTGCCCGAGGTGGGATTTCCGGTTGGTGGTTCCTGGAGTAGCCACGTGTTTTTCGGGAGAGTTCCTGGGGAGCGTGTGAGGAGTCTGCTGGTGGAGTTCAGCAATAAAGTTTGTTCCTCTTGAGTGGCTCGTGATTTGTGCCCAGCCAGACTGCGGCATGAGTTAATGCAAGAAGGCTTAGAGGTGAAAAGACTGGGTTATGAGAGCCTGAGCCACAATCAGGGTGTTAATCCGCTGCAGGGACTAACTGGTTGGCGACTGTAGGCAGGGAGGTGTGGCTGGAGGAGGTGGGTCCCTGAGGGCATGCTTCTTGGTGGCCGTGACCTGGCTGGCTTTCCTCTGCCACTCCCTTCCACCATGATGTTCTGCCTCCCTCGTGGAGCCCTGTGGAATGCAGCTGGCTGTCTGTGGACTAAGACCTCTGAAACTGAGCCTCCAAATAAGCTTTTCCTCCTGAAATTGTTCTCATCAGGTCTTTTTTGGTCACGGCATTGAAAACGCTTGACTAAAACAACAGGGAAAGGAACGTTTGCCCTGTCTGGCCACATTGCTGTGAGGATTTGAAAGGGACACAAAACAACACCCATATGGGCATAGGCCAAAAAGTCAC